AATTTTTCTAGATAAGAGGTTCTGTTTTCTACATCTGAGTTTTAATCTTCTGCATGATCTAATCTGCTTTTAATATTTTCAAGGCAGGTTTTGATTTCCTGTATTACAACTTTCATCTCTAACAGCTCCGTTTGATTCTTTTTTATGGTATGTATTTTCTCTTCCAGATCGTGCAAGAAGTTTCTCACTTCCTGGGATTCATTGTCTCTTTTCTCCTACATTTTCTGGAGTTTGTTGTCCCTCTTCTCCTGCATCTCTGTTAGCTTTGTCACTATGAATATTCTAAATTCTTTATCTGGTATTTCCATGAGTTCAGTTGTACTGTCTGTGGAAGATGAAGGGCTGTTCTTGCCCCTTGGGGGAGAGATATTTTGGTTTCCTGTATTTCTTGTGCCTCTGCAGTGATTTCTGGTCATGTGATGGATTATAGATTACTCCCTACTTTCTTGGAGTTAATTCTGAGTGTTAGAGGTGTGCAGGAGGAGATGACCTGCAATATTTCTGCAGTTCCATTTCCCTGATCCTCATCAAGCAACCTGTATTTTTGTCAGTGGAACTAGATATTACAAAGGCCTCACCGTTTCTAGGGAATAGGTGCACCAGGGCTGAGCTGTGGGGTAAATTCAGAAGGTGTGTGGGAGGAGATGAGAGGCACTCTCTGCAGCTCCATGTTTCTCTCTGCTACTCACTTCGCAGTTTCTCTTCTCTGATTTTTAGTCATTTGGTGGTATATTCACATTTGGCTAACTTATTGGAGATTTCCGCTACTGTAAGCTCATATGCTTCACTTAACTGTGAGGTACTTCCATGCCAATTTGGTCTCTACTACTGTGTTTTCCAACATGATATCCACAGAAAGAGGCTTGAATTCAAATTTAAGAAGATGAGTTTCTCCGTTCCTGTAGCAGCTCAGTGGGGATTGAGGTTTTCTATGACCCTAAAAGTATTCAGATGTTTTGCTACTGTGCACCTACACCTGTCTAGACACTAAATGTATGGAAGCTAAGAAACGATGTGAGAAAGTCAAGTAAAAGAAAAAAAAGGGGGAGAGATTGAAAAAAAAAAGACAAAACAAGCACACACACACACACACACACACACACACACAAACAATGAAAAGGGGAAATTTTTTTCTTAAAAAATGCAAAAAAATGAAAACAACACGGTGCTATGCACCATGTGAAAGGGGTAGAGCTGGGCCCACCTCAGATGTACATGGATTCTGAAATTAGCAAGAGAAAGGAGAGGTCAGAGGCTGGAGACAGTAGTTACAGATTTTTAAAAAACATATATATATATATATATATATATGAAAAATTCTGAGAGAAAGAGAGAGGGAGAGAGGCAGACAGAGACAGAGAGAAGACAGAAATCAGCCTACCTCACTTTGCTAGTTGAGCCAGAAGGAGAGCTTTGGGGCGGAGGCTTAGGCTTTCTGGTTAAAGGGACAGAGCTAGACCCACCTCAGATGCATATGGTTTCTCGTTTTGCTTTTTTTTTTTAAAGGGAGCTTTTTATTTGTTTGTTTGTTTGTTTGTTTTGCTATAGGGCACATGTGCTCACCAGAGAGACAAAAAAACAGAAAGTGAGAAATCACTCCCCACAGAGGATGGCCACACTACAATTCCTTATCCTCCATCTTACCCTCCATTCTCCTCTCAGGATTTTGGGCACGCACACATACGCTCCTGGCATGAGTTTTAAGCCACCAGATCTGGGACTCCAACCATGGTCAAATATGTTGGAGTCCAGCAACATAACCATTATGCCATCTGCTGGTACCCTAAGTCCATCTTTTTTTTTTTTTTTTTGAGAGAGAGATTTTTGCTATAGGGCACGTGCACTCGCCAGACAGACAGAGAGAGACAGAGAGATAGAAAGCGAGAAATCACCGCCCAGAGGAGATGGCCACGCCACAATCCCTTCTCCTCCATTGTCCTCTCAGGATTTTGGGCACACACGCACATGTGCCCGGCGTGAGTTTAAGCCACCGGGTCCGGGACTCAAACAGCGGTCGATTACATGGGAGTCCAGCGACATAGCCATTACACTAACTGCTGGTCCCCCTACGTCCATCTTAAGAAAAACTTTTTTGAGCAGTGGAGGGAGAAAGAGAGACAAAAGGGCAAGAGATGGAGACAGGCATCCTTGGTAAGGCCTTTCTGTGTGGGGAAACTCTGGCTCGGCCTCCCAGTTAGCTAGGAGTACAGGCTCCAAATGCTACACCAGGGTGTGCAGGTCAGCAGAAACCAAACCCAGGATGCCCAGCTGGATTCTAGCCCCTGAACAGTGGCATCATTTATGCACCACCAAGGCTGGAAACCCTTTTTACAATAAAATATTTAAAGCACAAAATATGTACAATAACATTATTTATGGGCGAAAACAATCTCAATGTCTAATAACAGGATTAATTGAGGAATTGTGACATGTCCATATAATTGAATATTATACAGTTAAAAATTTGAGAGAGATTTTTGCTTTCACCAGAAAGAGACAGAAAGCAAGAAAGCAAAAAATCACCCCCCAGGGGCGATGGTTGCGCCACAACCAGGCACAGGTGCATGGGTGCCCAAAATCCCTGGAGGAAAAGAGAGGAGAACGGATTATTGTGTGGCCCTGGGGCTTGATTTCTTCCTTTCCCTCTCACTGTCTTTCTCATCTCTCTCCAGCAAGCACATATGCCCTAAGGCAAAAACCTTAAATAAATAAATGTTTTAAATCTATTTTTTTAAAAAAAGACCTCTGTCGGGAGTGCCATGTGTGAGTGTGTGTGTCTTTCACTCATGGAAGAAATACACAAACTTTATATATGAAATTATGTAGGATATATATGTGTGGGGGTCCTAATATTAAGGAAAATGGACATGGGACATGAGATTGCACATACGATGCACTCTTAATAGAGTAAAAATGTCCAGGAGAGGTGTAACAAGGCCCGGCCCTGGGGCAGGCACTGCTCAGACACTGTGTTCAGCTGGCTGGGACCTCTGGAAGGCCAGTGATTCTTTTTATTTTTATTTATTTTATTTATTTATTTTTTTTTTTTGGAGAGGTTTTTGCTACAGGGCGCGTGAGCTCGCCAGACAGAGACAGAGAGACAGAAAGCGAGAAATCACCTCCCAGGGGGAATAGCCCCACCGCAACCCCTTCTCCTCCATTCTCCTCTCAGGATCTTGGGTATGCTTGCACACACGCCCGGCGTGAGTTTAAGACACCGGGTCCAGGACTCGAACCGCGGTCGACTATGTGAGAGTCCAGTGACATAGCCATTACGCTAACTGCTGGTCCCTGCCAGTGATTCTCAACTCAGTCTAAAGGCTCGTCCCTGTCATCCCAAGACTTGAGGAGGCTGAGGCAGGAGATCCAGCATTTGAAGCTGAGTAGGGCAGTATCACTAGACCTTGTTTTTTGTTGTTGTTTGTTTGTTTGTTTGAGAGACTTTTGCTATAGGGAACATGCATTCACCAGAGAGACAAAGTGAGAAATCACCCCCTCAGGGGGAGGATTACGCTGCAATCCCTGCTCCTCCACTCTCCTCTTGGAATTTTGGGTGTGCGCGCACACACACATGCGCAGCATGAGTTTCAAGCTGCAGGGTCCAGGACTCAAACTGTGGTTGGCCATGTGGGGGGAGTCCAGCACCTTAACCACTACTCCCCCTGCTGGTCCCACTAGACCCTGTCTTAAAAAAATAAAAAAGTGACATTTTACTAGTCGTTTTGTCTGTGGTTGTGAATTTTGTTTCTGTATCAGACTTTCCTGTATTTCTCTATATTTCCTAAAACAGTATTTCATTACTTGTGTCAGAAAAACATAACAGCTTTTTAAAAATAGTCATTTATGGGACCAGCAGTTGACATAATGGCTATGTTGCTGGACTCCCATGTAGTCGATCACGGTTTGAGTCCCGGACCCGGTGGCTTAAACTCACACGGGGCGTGCGTGCATGCCCAAGATCTCTAAGAGGAGAAGGGAGAAGAAGGGAGGAGAAGGGATTGCCCTGTGGCCATTCCCCCTGGGGGGTAATTTCTCACTTTCTCTCTCTGTCTGTCTGGTGCACGCGCCCCATAGCAAAAATCTCTCAAAAAAAATTATTCTCGGATTTGAAAGACAATGTCACAGCGGTCCTCCGCCATCTTCCAACGTTTCCTGGAGTACATGTTCCTCCTGGCTGGTGTGGGGACCAGAGCACACCCCACTCTAAAGCTGTCATCATCGCCCCATCTCCACTGCACGCAGAGCCTTTCGCGTCCAAGTGATTCGCAGAAAAGCCTTTGGTACCTGTCTTTTGATGAATGAAGCTGGTCCCACTGAAATCCTCCCTCTCTCACACAGAGGCCCCATGACAGGTGTCGCCTGCTCCAGGTAGAGGGCCTGCCAGGCAAAGAAGGCAGATTTGGCAACAGATGGCGCTCCAGCTCCCAAAGTGGGGAGCCTGTCTTTGGCCCTCCCTCCTCTTCGCTCGTCCCCAAAGGAAGGGTACAAAACAGGTGGCTTCAGTGTCCCTGTCTCGGAGGAACGCGCTGAATTTTAAATTTAGTGTGGCTCATTAAACACTAAGGGTGTCCACGGTCCGACGCGGTGCTGAAGACTGGCTGGGGGGCGCTGGTTGTGCGGGTTGGATGAGGCCAGGCCTGAGGGCGGACCACAGGGAAGCTCTCCTCTAGCCCTCAAAGCACCCCCCGCCCCCGCCCCAGGTCTCTGCCAGCCTCGCCCGCCACGATTTAGAAAGCGCGCGGCACAGGCACGCAGCGGTCCCCGACAGCCTTGCTGGGGGCCGCGTCCTCTTCCCTGGGACTTCGGGCCATTGCTCCGCTCCTTCAACCACCTCCAGACGAGCCTGACCTCCTTCCCCCACACTCTTCCTCCGACGCTCGAGCCCCTGCACTTCCAGACTTGGGCTTTCTCGCCCTGCCCACCCCTCTCCCTGGCCTGAGCCCCGCCTGCAAGAAGCGGTGGCTGAGGGAAGTCTGCGCGCCAGAGACCATCCCTACAATCAACTCAGGTGCGACCTCCTCCAGGAAGCTTTCCGGACTCCCCCAGGCCCCGGTGGGTTCCTCCTCATGCGGGAGCGCCCAGTGCGCCCCTGCCACCAGGTACCGCAGCACGGAGACGGAGGCGCGGTCCCCTACTCACTGGGAACTTGGGGACAGCAGGGACTGTGGCTGGTTCTCTAGGTGGCCCTACGCTGGCACTGGGAGCGCTGAAACGGGCAGGAGACGCGACGGGTAGAAAAGACCCCTAGGAAACGGAATGGGTGCTGGTTTCGGCAGCTGGAGGTGCGCTGGCAGCTAAGACGCCCCCGCGCGGAGGCGGCGAGACTTGGGGTGGGTGACTTGGC